AGATTTTCACTGTAGGGCGCGTGCGCTCGCCAGACAGACAGAGAGAGACATAAAGACAGAAAGTGAGAAATCACCCCCCAGGGGGGATGGTCACGCCGCAATCCCTTCTCCATTCTCCTCTCGGGATCTTGGGCACGCACGCACACGCGCCCGGCGTGAGTTTTAAGCCACAGGGTCCGGGACACGAACCGCGGTTGACTACGTGGGAGTCCAGCGACATAGCCATTACGCTAACTGCTGGTTCCCAGAAGTGTAATTGTAAAGACAGGAGACATAAAAAGTTTAGATTGACTAAATTAATGACTAGTTAGCCTCTAAGAGACCGGTGTAGTAGTTAAGGTGCTGGACTCCCCTGTAGTCAAACACAGTTTGAGTCTCAGATCTGGTGGATTGAAACTCACACCTAGTGCATACACATGAGTGTCCCCCCAAATCTCAAAAGAATGGAGAAGGGACTGCAGCATGTGGTCATCCGCTGTCGGGGGGGGGGGGGGGGGGAGTGTGATTTCTTGCTTTCTGTCTCTCTGGCAAGGGCATGTGCCCCTGTGCAAAAATCTATGATCTCTAGTCAAGTCTAATGCTTTGAAGTGGCTGCACCTAAAATTTATGGTGGAGTCTGTATTTATTTTTCATATATATCTTTAAAAAAAGGCAAGTCTTAACCTCATTACAGACTATATCAATGCCATCCCTTGATAAGCAATTTTTGTTTGCCTAAATTAAAATCCTGCAAACAAATACTTTATGGAAAAAGAATACTTTTCAATCAGCATCCTGCTTTAACTTTTAAATGCTTATTTGCATATCTCCATAAAATTAATTAAATAAGCAATATTATAAGTAGAACAAGACATAATTTAAAGGGAGAAAATTTTAAAAAGTCATGTAGTAAAATTTCATTTAAGCACTATTTTTAAAAAGGTAGTTTAGCATCTTACTAAGTTTGTAGTCACATTTATTCAATTAAGATTTGAACTGACAACACAGATGCTCAACACACCTCAGGCAGCAAAGTCAGAAAACACCATTTCTCGTTTTTCCAAAAGTACCAAGGAAAGGCCTGTCTTCTTGGCTGTTATCATTATCATGTTTCTACATGGCCTAGAATCCTGGCCTAATGCAAGCTCAAAAATACTGTACCTGTTAAGTTAGTAAAATGGTTTTTAGTTTATGACAGTTATCTACTGAGATGCTATAATCTAGTTATATTTCCTTCTTTATTTGGATTGGTCTCACTTGTCAATTTGCAAATGGGCTGCAACCCCACAGACTGCTACCTATTGGAGTGATATGACATAAAAATATTCCTGGGGACCAGCAGATGGTATAAGGATTACGTTGCTGGACTCTTACATAGCTGACTGCCATTTGAGTCCCGAACCCAGCGACTTCGAACTCAAACCGGGTGAGTGTGCATGCGGGCCCAAGATCTTGAGAGGAGAATGTAGGAAAAGGGTGTGGTCATCTCCCCTGAAAGTGATTTCTTGCTTTCTGTCTGCCTCTCTGTGTCTCTCCAGCAAGTGTATGCACCCATATAGCAAAAGCAAAAATCTCTCTTAAAAAAAAAAAAAACAAAATACAGTCGACAGGATGGGGTTGTACGCTGGCAGTGAATGCAATGCTAGCCAAAGGGGTTCGATCATGGAGAGAGATGTTGTAGAAGATTCCTATTTCTCTGCCTCTTTGCCTATCTCACTCAAGGAAGAAACGAATAAACTAGAAAAAAAAAAAGGGAAGTAGAAAGAATTGTGCTAGAAATTACTTCCTTTATATTACTGAAATAAATTATGTATTAACAAGTAACTTAATAATCAATTATCTTTTTGGAGAGATTTTTACTATAGGGTTCATGCACTCGTTGGAGAGACAAAAGAGACATAGAGACAGAAAGTGAAAAATCACCCCCACAGGGGAATGGCCATGCCGCAATTCCTTCTTCATTCTCCTCCCAGCATTTTGGGCATGCATGCACACATGCCTGGTGTGTGTTTTAAGCCACTGGATCTGGGACTCTAACTGTAGTCGACTATGTGGGAGTCCAGCTACGTAACCATTATGTCATCTGCTGGTCCCAATGATTAACTTTTACAGAGAAACTTATACATTAGATGGGATTAATGCACATTAAAGAATTAAATATTACAAGATTTCTAGTTGTTCTTTTGATTAAATGAAATGCAGATTCTGAAAAGGGAGATACATGTGTTGGTCAGAAAACTACCTAAAAAGTGTAATTAGACAGAATCCTAAAGTAAGGTAAGAAACAGAGAAAAAGGAAAAAGTTATGCTACTTAGGAGGAACAGTACAAGCAAAGGTAAGAAAATAGGAGGATTAGGTTAGTAAAACCTTAGTGTAATCATGGCATATAGCCCTGAGAGAAATGCACAGGCTGGAATATTAACAACACAATATCAAAGTCTATGAAAAGAATGGAAATATAGTACTTCTTACAAAGCAACAAAAACACAGCTCAGTTTTTGATCAATGTATGAAGTGAGCTGCATTTATAATTAAAAGGCCAGCATTAATTATGACTTTATTATTAAATCAAATTAGATTTTTACTAGTCTTTTTCCATAATATTTACAGACTATAAAAAAGCATGTTTCAAGAGAAAGAACCCACACACTATACCACGTACATGTGTACTTGGACAGCACAAGAAACACTTGGCCTGTTTATAGACAATCACTACCCCTGCCCTCCTCCTTGTAACTGCTGCAAATTTTTGTGGAAGGACTGAAAACTGTAAATTAGTACATACTATTCTTTTCAGCTATCTTAAGGATATCCCTTTGATAAAAGTGTATCCGGGACCTTTATATAAGAGAAAATAAATCACTCTTAAAGTGAGTAAGAGGGGAAACATCTGCTATATTTATAAACTAAAAGTGTTATTTCATTTTTTATTAGGCAACCATGAGATTTTTTTTTTAAAACTTTTTTTTACTGCTTTAAATATAATAGAAAAAATATCTAGAGGCTAAGAGGAGGAGATTCCAACATTTCAAACTGATGGGAAGAATAAATACACTATCAGAAAAGTAAGTTTTGATTTAACAGGATTTTAGTTCCTTGGCGGACACAGAGGAAAGGTAGGAAAACATGAAGTCAGAGAGGCTTGGGTTGAAATTCTGGGCAGGTTTATTTTCTTGGGAGAATAGCTTAATCTCTTTAGAGTTTGTAACTCAGGGACAGTAATATCTAATATGTAGTTGCTTTAAGAATATGTGTGTAAATTAGCTATGATGATTATTCAATTGTAGGTTTATAAAAGTGTGTAAAATAAGATAGGACCCTTAGCCTACAAAGTTCTAAGGTTTTCAGTTTTAGTCCCTGCTCTGAGGAGTAAAAGAAAAAAGAAATGGCCTATGCCGAAGTTGGATCCAAAATGAAATGTTCATGCCAGAAAATGTCTTAACAGAAGAATATAATCTCCTAATATTTATTTTTAAATGATTTTAAAAATAATTAATTCCATTTTTTATTATTTTTTAATTTGAGGAGAGAGAGAGAGGGAGAGAGAGAAAGAAGGCAAGTGAGAAAACAAGTCCCCAGGCCCAAGAATCAAACCATGCTGAGCCAGTCCGCCATGAGGCAATCCAGTACCTTCAATCACCATACCACCTGCTGGCCCCCATTCATGAATATTCTAACCAGAGATATTGTCTATTAGTTTAAACATATAAAACTATCAATATTTTATTATTTTGTTATATAAAAACAGCAAATTTATATGGATCAACTTAATATAGTCCCATGAAAAGCATTTTTTCTTTCATATATACATACAGAAGATCTACATAGAAAGTACATGTATGGGACCAGCAGATGGTGTAATGGTTACGTCGCTAGACTTCCATGTTGTTGATCACGGTTTGAGTCCTGGACCCAGTAGCTTAAATTCACACCGGGCGCTTGTGCATGTGAGCCCAAGATCCTGAGAGGAAAATAGAGAAGGGATGTGGCATGGCCATCTCTTTCTGACTTTCTGGCGCATGCATGTGCCCTATAGCAAAAACCTCTCAAAAAACAACAAAAAAGTACAAGTAGAAAGTTCATGTAAATGTGACTACACCACTGCACTGTCCTAAGATACAGCATCTAAAGCAATACTCCTTGGCCAATCTTTCCAAAAAGTTAATACCCTAACCGCAGAGGCAACACATGATTTCGAATGTTCATTAGCCTGCATTAACTGTCTTTTCTTTGGCACAGAAAGAGAGGGGGAAGAAAAGAAAAGAAAGCCAATTTTCTAAACACTGATTTTGTCAGGCATACATTAGTCAATTTTCATTTTTTCCTTTAATAATCAAGAAAATTAAGTAAAATCAATTACATTTTCATAAGAGATAAACTTAGGTTGGGAGAAGTTAAATAATAGCTGACTTTTTGGTTTACCAAGGTATAGAAACTAATAAAACCAGTATTATTTGACTCCATTTTATATCCACTTGGCCCGATGGGAGAATGCCTGTCTCTAGGACACTTGGTTAATGTTTAAACTTTTGAGTATATTTTGAATAGTACTGACCTGGTTTTCCTTACATTATTCTGCACTGGAAATACTAAGTATTTTTTTTAAAGATAACAATATTTAAAAGAGTGCTCTATAAATTTTACTCATAAAACAAATTCTAAGTGGTTACTATTAATGTCCTCACACAGACCATACAACACTGAAGAGAAAATATATGAATGACAGAAGAGACTAGTGGTAAAATGATCTCTCATTGGGGCCAGCAGGTGGCATGGTGGTTAAGGTGTTGGACTTTCACATAACCAATCGACTGTGGTAGAGCCCTGGACCTGGCAGCTAGCTTTCTCACTTTCTTTCTCTCTCTCTCTGGTGAGAAAACATACCCTGGAGCAAATTTTAAAAAGTAGCAATGACAATGACAAATAATATTAAATAATTCTTAAAAAAACTCTTTCTCATCAATAATCTTAAAGACAAAATATTAGCATATTTGCAGATAATATGAAGCTGAAAGTTTTCAAAGAGAAGAAACTTATCATAATTGTTATTCTAGTATAAATACTAGCAATCCGACTCAAAAGATGACTCTTGTTTCATTATTTTAAAATGTCTGCTTAAATTATAAACATAGAGTAAAACTCCACCCCCCCCCCTTTTTTTTTGGGAAATTTTTAACTATGAGGGGCTC